ACACACACACACACACACACACACACACACACACACACACACACACAGCATGAGTGCACTCCCTCCCATTCTCTGCAAAACACTGTAAAACAAAGACAAAGGTACCTCTGGAGAGCTTTAACAACAGGCATTTATATTTAAGGCTTACCCTTACATTTCTAATTTGCTATGAGTGGAGGCTTTTTAATTTTAATTTTTTAAAATTAATTACAATTTATTCACTTTGTATCCCAACTGTAGCCCCCTCCCTGGTTCCCTCCCAATCCCACCCTGCCTCCTTCATCTCCTCCCATGCCATTCTCCAAGTCCACTGATAGGGGAGGTCCTCCTCCCCTTCCATCTGACCCTAGCCTATCAGTTCTCATCAGGACTGGTTTCATTGTCTTCCTCTTTGGCCTGGCAATGCTGCTCCCACCACAGGGGGAGGCAGTCAAAGAGCCAGCCACTGAGTTAATGTCAGAGACATTACCTGTTCCCCTTATTAGGGAATACTGAGTTGCTATGGGCTACATCTGTGCAGGGGTTCTAGATTATCTCCATGCCTGGTCCTTGTTTAGAGTATCAGTCTCAGAAAAGACCCCTGTGCCCAGATTTCTTGGTTCTGTTGCTCTCCTTGTGGAGCTCCTGTCCCCTCCAGGTCTTTCTATTTCTCCCTATTCACTTATAAGTGGATATTATATAGGATAAACATACTAAAATCTGTACAACTAAAGAAGCTAAGCAAGGAAGACCCTGGTAAGATGTTCAGTCCTCATTCAGAAAGGCAAACAGGACGGGCATTGGAAGAGGGAGAAAATAGGGAACAGGACAGGAACCTACCACAGAGGGCCTCTGAAAGACTCTACTCAGCAGGGTATCAAAGCAGACGCTCAGACTCTAACTTTGGGCAGAGTACAGGGAATCTTATGAGAGTGGAGGCTTTTAACAGTCAGATAATTCTAACCAAACCAAAGCTGAGACCCGCTTATAGGTCAGATAGTGCTCCCCTTCAGCTCTCATTTTCAAGTGTGCTCAGATAACAGCTACAAATCAGTGTCACCCGCTGTCTGCTTCCTAGCGCTGTGATAAAGACCATCACCAAAAGCAGCTTAGGGAGGAGTGGGTTTACTTGGCTTACATGTCTGGGTTACAGCACATTGAGGGAACCAACTCAAGGCAGGCACCTGCTTTCTTACATACCTCAGGATCACCTGTGGGGTGACACCACCCCTAGTGTGCGAGACCCTCCCGAATCAGTCATAAATCAAGAAAATGCACTGCAGACTTGCCCACAGCCCAATTAATGGAGGTTCCCTTTTGCCCAGGTGACTGTAGTTTGTGTCAAGTTGACAAGAAAAGCAGCCAGCATACCAGCATTACCTTCTACACTACTGAGTAATAAATACTGTTGTTTTTTTCTCCCCTTACAGTTTATTTCTTCAGTCATCACCATGGTTCTTCTGACAATATTGAGTGTCACACTGGACCCTCCCCAGAAATTACCAGACTTGTTTTCTGTACTGGTGTGTTTTGTGTCCTGTATAAACTTTGTATTCTTCTTGGTATACTTTAACATTGTTATCATGTGGGATTCCAAAAATGGAAGAAATCAGAAGAAAATTAACTAGCTATATTCCCAAACAAATGCAATCTTTTTAATATGTATATGTGAATTTATCCTGTTTAGAATCATGGAATTATAGGAAAAGAAATGGTGAAAAGGCATTGTTATTTACACAAAATGTATATGGGGACCAAAGCATTTGTTTTCTAAGTATTTTTTGCTAAAGCATATCATAATTTCAGTAATCTTCACAGATATTTAAATAGTAAAATAAGAGAAAAAAATGTTCCAGCTGGTTGTAGCTCACACCTGCAATGCTAGTACCAGGAGGTAGAGTTCAAGGGCATCCTTGGTTACATAGCAAGTTTGAGGCTAGCCTGGGCTATGTGAGACTCTTATTTCAATAAAAAGGGGAGAAAAAATGTCCTTAATGCCAATACTTAATAACAAAATATACTCTATAAATTATAATTTTTAAAAACTGAAAATAGAGTGAGTTTACTGGAAGAATTAAGCTCCTGTCTTGTTTGAGCTTTACCATACAAGTAATATGCATCTCATTTAGAAGTTGTATCTCAGGGAATTAACTTTTAATTACTGAGAGAGTACATTATGCTGTTTAAATATGCATTACTGCATATGCAAAATTGGACACTAATAGATTAAGTGTTATTCTTGTTTCCAAGAATATAGAATCACTCAATTCCATTTTTTAAAAAGAACTTTTATTGAATATAAATCTAAGACATTTGAAGTCTTTTTAGTTACTCATTGTCATTAGTTCTGGGTTTCTAGTGTCATTCTAAATTAAACGACTTTATCAAGGATTCCATCTTGCTTTCTTTTACCTCGTTTTAAGGTTTCCACTGGTGTGTTTATTCAGATCATGTCTTGTTGGCTTTGTCCCATCCATATGGTCTTTTTGTCTGTGCTTACTCTGGTATCAACTGGTAAAATTTGTGTATTACGTTTTAGTTTCTCAGGAAAGCTGTTTTTTCTTTTTTTGTCTCTGGTAAAAATTAAAGTCACTTTCCTACTAACTAGCCTGTTTGAGTATATTTTTTTTCATAATGTAGTCATCAAAGCATCAAGTGATTAAATGGCATGTTCTAAAGTCTATAAAGAATTGGTTCTGGACATGGCTAGCTATAGGCTGAAGCAAGAAAATAATGTATTTCTCAGTCCACAAAGGAAGTGGACCTAGACAAAGCAAATGTGCGTGAAGACTTTGGGGACAAGGTCAGTACAGAGAAGCAGCCTTGGCCACTGCGGAATCAGCAGGCGCATCACTGCCCATCGTCACCATTTGTAATCACTGGGCCAGCTGACAGCATCTTCGCTGCTTTAATAGGTTTTTTCCATAATAATAATGTATCTGAGTTTAACACAGAAATGCTTATTTCCATTAATAATGAAGTTCTAACTTCTCTGAAATTCAGTAGAGCACCCTTATTATTAAAAAATAAAAGTATTAAGCAGTATAATGCCAGATTCATTATGTAAATGATATGCATAAATTCTGTCAATAAAAACACATTTTTCAGATGATTTAATTTAACCATACCAAATTCCCATCAGCTTTAAAGAAGTTACGATCCATCACTCTCACATTCATTAGAAACCAGGTAGAGTGCACTAAGAGCTAGGCTTGTTGGCACACACTGGTAATCTTAGCGCTTGGTAGCTGCAAGCAGGAGGAGAGTGAGTTTGAGGCTAGCCTGAGCTACATGAAATCCTGTTTTAAAAACCAAAGTCAGATAAAGTGTGCTTTATGCTTGCAGCAGATAGCATCCAAAGTACCAGATCCTCCTGTGAGAGATTCAAAGTTTCTCAGTTAACCTCAGGAGTGCGCTGTTTTAATAGATACTTATACAAAATTAAATAAAGATAGGAAGCCTCATTTTCTTGCCTGTCAAAAAAATGAAAAGTTCTGTGTTCTTTTCAGATACATTTTAGAGTGAAGAAGCATTTTTTGGTAAATGCAATTTTCTCCACTGCTAACATACTTGTGTTTACTTTTTAAAGCAATGAAGAGAATAGGGTGTGAGTTCATGTGCCAGATGAAGCTTACCAGAATCATTATCCTTTGAGGCCATAGGGAGGGGAGAAAATCTGTCCAAATCATAAACCACAGCGAGGGAGCAGAACATGAAAGTCAGCTGTTCTATAGGAAGGAACAAGAGGACAGGCTGCAGCCACACAGTGGCTGGAGGAACACAGTGGCTCCAGCTCCCAGCTGGTTCCTTTTCTGCTCATCGGAAGGTCAGGGCCAGGTACGTCCCAGGCCCTCCCTCCACATAAACATTAGTTTTGTGTGTGGATCGTTCTGCTTTGTCCTTCATGTGGCCTCTAAGGGTGATAAAGCGAGAGTCATCTGATCTACAACGAAGAGAACTGGGAAATGGTTCTCAGCAGACCCAGCTGTTCTGAAAGGCAAATGCTCAGTATGTCAAGAGGTCAAATTCACAGTAACCACCTTAAGCACACACCTACGTAATTCCTAACATGTGAAACCAATCTACTTCTTAACCCTTTGTTTTAACTAATTCAGGGTACTTTATGTTTTGGCTTGTGCTGTAGTTTTCAATGTTAGAACAATCTATGTTAGTATATTTTTGTTAACATATTTGAAGGATTATATCAAAAGTATTGATATTTAGCAGACAGGTAAAAGAAAACAAAATCTCCCTTAAATAGTTCCTGGAGACCTAGAAGGCAATTAGGTTGGACAGTTGATTGAAGTAGTATTTAGTACCTACATCATTTAAAGTAATAGCTTAAAAAAAAAAAAAAACCTAAGATATCAATCTGCTAGGTGTAAAATGAGTTCTTTTCAACTTTCATTTTTGTTCCACATTTCCATACAAGACTTTTATTTTCAAAATATACTGAATCAGGTAACATCTTAAACTAATTAAGGCGAGTGCCAAGCAACCAGCATTTCTTCCCTTGCAGCACAGGTCCAGTGTATAAGTTTTAGAATCCATGTTACACAGATGAGTCCCCTTCCCCTCTTTCTGACAGCACAGATGGTAACAAACATCACAGGGGCACACAGCTCAGCTAACGCTTCAAGTCATCTGCCAGAGAGCACACACTGACTGCCCCTGCAGTAAAAGGCTTTTCTTTACATTCATCGCACTCTGAAGTTAGTTCAGAACCCACCTAATATTGAAATGTCAGTGTTTTCTAAATTATGCAGTCTTCAAACATTCACAGTAATTTTCTCTATAAGCATGGACAATGGTTCCTAGAGTGGAGCAATAATATCCAAGACAATAGTTCCTCAACACTTCTAAATTTTCAATAAACATAAAATATCCTGTGAACTGAGAAGTGGCTGGAACTGTACGTGGGAAAGCTGGTTCCTGCCTCACCTGGTTTATGGTGAGTTCCAGTAAAGTATGTTACTCTACAAAGATAAATTGTAATTCTACCCACAAATGGTAAAAGTCCACAGAAACACGCTATCCCCAGTGCACAGCAAGACTTACATTAAAGGGTCAAGAAGAAATGTATTATTTACATTGAGATTATCTACTTGTGTGTGTAGAAAGTTTAAATTAGCTGCAAGAAATTTTATCTAGACTTGCACCTGCCTAGTGCTACAAGTTGGTATTTAGTGGGCAGATTAATTACACACGTTTCTTCTGTGCCTTTAAATATGACCAGGCAGATGCAGACACTGTTCCCAGTGAGTACATTTCTTCTAAGTGCCTTTGGGATATAGAATATGGTTATTACATCATCACGAATTAGTTTTCAAATTAACATACTTCTCATACATCACTTAAGAAATGATTTAAATACCATTTGCCATGTAATTTGGTACCTGCTTTAGACACTGATGAGATCCCATTTGCTTATTTTTGAGTCTTCTGAACAGGATTCACCCTCACAAATTAGTATGGCTATTCCAACAGCATTCTTTACTTTGCATGAGGAAATATGAGAAACTCCAATATGACCCACTAAAACACAATTTAGATGCCTTTGTCTACATGCCTTAAGGGACTTCCAGCAGGTGCTTCCTTCAACAGCTGCTGAGAAGGGGGGTGTGGTGACTGTGACAGATTCCCGTTCAGTGTGTCCCTCTGGGGACTCCTAGTGGTGACAGGGGATCTTATTTAGACTTGGGAGCATTGTGCCAGGGAAGATACTGGCAACTGCTGAAACTTTCTTGCAGGCATGTGGCTCTTTCCCTCCTTGTTTTCACTGACAGAAGTGGTGCGTAGTGGTAGGCTTGGGGGATGGCTCAGTGCATTTGGATTGCTAGAACCCACAGAAAGCCAGAGGCAGGAGAATGCACATGTACTCCCAGCGCTCACTGGAAGGTCACAGACCAGCTAAATTGGTATGTATATTTGTGAACAAGAGACGCTGACTTAAGGTGGATGATGGGCTGGCATCTGAGATTGTCCTCTGACCTCCATACATATGCCATGGTAAATACACACCGGCACCCACAAACATACACATACACACAAGCATCCACCCAGATTTTTGTACAAAAATGAAGTGCACAGTGGACTCCTTTATTTTTTCAGTTTAGAAAAATCCACATATAGTGGATATACTTCCTGTCTTAGAAGGTGGGTTCCAAACTTGACAGTCTACTTTCGCTGGCTCTTTATTTCAGTCTGGTCTGAATTCTTATGGGTTGACTAACACCCACGAAGATCGACACAGTTGTCAGACTTGGGAGGTAACACTATAAAAGAGAGAAAAGTTCTTATTAAAATGTTACCACAGAGGAGATTCTGGTTAGGTTAATTATTTAGTTTACTCTTACGAAGTAGTATCACAATCCCCATTTCCAATCCACTATGAGAGGAACCTAGCCACGTATAGGGCTATAGGTAGTAGAGCTGGTATGGAAATCTTTGATTTTAAAAATATTAGTTTATAACGTCAGAAACTGCAAAAATGTTTTCATTAGTCAGCTCTGGTCGTTGGGAGAACTACTGAAAAAGATTGTGAGGTCAAATCCAGGATCAAGCAGAAAACTTACGGTACAACAGGTAGTAGAAGTACTCCTCCTTCATAGCAACCATATATTCTAAGGTACACTTGCTGTCTTTATAAGCTTTGCTGCTGGGCCATCTCTGATTGTATGAGCCTGGTGACTGTCAGTATTGACCTGAGCCCTTCCTTAGTCTTGCTTTCTGATATTTTGAGCTTATGTAATTCTGCACACGTATACAACCCATAACAATTACCATGTTTCTGGAGCCAGGTATGGTTGGTACATGCCTGTCATTCCAGCACTTTGGAAGGAGAGGAAGGATTGAGGTCAGGTTTGGAATCCAGTTGAGATGGAGTGGGGTGGGGTGGGGGAGGAGAGGAGAGAAGGAGAAGGGGGGAAGGGCATAGTGAGAACCAAGTTTTCTCAGTTCAACTGTCTGGTAAAGCGCGGGGCGCGTGTTACTAGGGTGTAAATGGCTCCTGGACAGAGAGAGCGTAGACTGGAGTTAGTGGGATTCTCCCTCCCCACCTTTAAGACATACTTGCCTACTTGCCTGCTGTAAAGCCCAGGCGCATACCTCAGCCACTCAAGTGCTGGGATTATAGCTGTGCGCACCACAGCGGGCTAGAGCTAGTGTGAAGTCCTCAGTCTCTAACTAATTACCTTGTCACGCTTTCCTGAGTAGATGTATGTCTGTTGTGAATTTTCTAACACTGCTTTTTCTTCACTGGTACTCACAGCAGAAAGCAATGTTTATAACCATTACAACTTTTCCTTGCTCTATACCTCATGAAAGGCAGAATCCAGAACATTTACTGGCCTACATTTTACTGATATTATAGGTCATTAATTTTACACACTATTCTTTCCCATGTGTAGTTTCACTATCACTGCCTATTTCAAGTTCATGGGCCTTTGTGCTTTCTAGCGTCATGTGGTCAGGAGACCCCCCCCCCCCCGTCCTTGCCAGCCTGGCATGCAAGAAAGGCAGGTCTGTGGGATCCACAGACTTAGAAATCAAGCGTTTTCCTCAGTGTGGGCCAGTTCGTGGAATTCAAAGTTAGATTCCATAGGGATTCCACTTCTGCTTTAAGGCCTGGTTCATGTAAATCACTTTTTGGTGCCAGAGGCTTGCCCTGTGGGACATTATCTGTTTCTCCAAGCTCATACTTTGGTCCTCATTAGAGTCACATTATTTGTGCAATAGACCAGAACCTTAGAATGCAGAGCCTGAACTTGTATTATTTAGTATAGCTCAAAATTCTTTTTGTCCCCACATCTAAAATGATCTAGCAAGATCATATCACTTCTGAATGTGTTTTGAGTTTTTAAGCCGGGTTGATTGCTATAAACCCTAGAAAGAAGAGCAACTGGCAGAGAAGTGATGAAGTAACTATACTTGAGACAGTGTAGCAGTTGAGACTGTGCTTTACTCTTGGAATGGAAGCCCGCACGACGGTGAGAGCCAGTCAGAGGTGTGGATGAGATGGAGAAAAGGCCCAAGCAAGCAAGGCATATACCATTTAATGTACTACTCAACACATCACATCACGGCATGCTGATATAGTCTGGATGTTATAGTTATCTACTGGAAAAAGGTTATCTTTACAAAACACTAGCAATTACTGTAAAGAAGAGCTATAACTAATTAATTAAATCTTACAGTGTAAGTAAAATATTTTACATGAACAACGGTGAAATTGAACAAGGTTAGCTGAGTTAGAAAAGCAAGACATTACCTCAGTTCAAAATGGCTTTAAGGAATGCAAAGCTGTCAAGATGATGTTCTGTGAAAAAAGAGATTTTCTTTTTTTTAGAAAAGATTTCAAAATAACTTGCCACACTATATGATACAAAGCAAATATTGAATCAGGTTGAATTGAAGTCAACTAAATTTGGGGGCTGGAGAGATGTCTCAGCGATTAAGAATATTTGCTGCTCTTGGAAAAGACCCAGGATTGGGTCTCAGCAGTCGTACGGCAGCTACAACGCCCTGTAACTCCAGCTCTAGGAGCTCTGACACCCTCTTCGGTAGCCTCTGTGGGTCCTGCAAGCATTGGTGCATTTACATATATATTCATATAAAATAAAAATGTCTAAAAAATAACTTCAACTTTTATTTTTCATAATAAATAAGTTTGGGCTTTATAACTCATTTCAGTATCTAATACGTTATTCATTCTGCTTCAGAATACACATTTTAAAATGGTAATAACCAAGAATTTTGTTGTGTGCCTTATACATTATACCGTTACAAAGACCATTACAAACAATAGTATGTAATGCTATTGCTGTTATACTATGCTTCATTCTGGTTCCTTGCTATCTGTGCTGGTCTCCATATTCTTAGGGCAGGACAGTATCTGTCTTGCTTTGGTATCCCAACGGCCAGAAGACTAATTCATAACAGGCATTCTGTAAACATTAAATTAGTGAAAAGAGCAACCATACATCTTTGAACCTTTAATCCCAGCCCTCAAGAGGCAGACACAGGCAGATCTCTGTGAGTTTGAGGCCAGCCTGATCTACACGTCAAGTTCTGGGTTAGTGAGACCAACTAACCCAACAAAGCCAAAAAATTTAAGTGTTTGAAAATGCTTAGCTAATTCTTGAAATCAGACAGTGCTACTGTTGTGCCGCAAGACATCTAGCTTTGCTATATGATAACTTGACATTTATCAGATAGACATTTATCCGTCCATCCATCCATCCATTGCATAAAGGACAATCGGTCTGGGCTCTCTATAGGTGTTCTACGCAGTGACACCCAGCCCTCTCCTTCCGGATTCTGACTAGGCTCTGGGGCTGCAATACAGAGGAGTCCACGAAAAGGCCAGTAATCTGACAGCGACATCACAAACACACTGAACAGATAGATGATTTCACAAGTACCATGAGAGCCTACAACATGAAGCAATTGTACTTCACCTACGAGAATGGCAAGCTTCACAGAGGACGGGCCATTTCAGACTGACTTTCCAGTTAGATAAGCAGGAGATAGGGGGCAGAGAAGGAGAAAAAGCAATCTAATGGAAGGAAAGCAGCAGGAGCCCAGGCATTCTGGTGGGCTGAAACTGAGTGCAAATACAAATGACCTCCCTCCTCTTTTGAGTCTGTGCTGGACAGCAACTCACCTAACATAATTAGCTATGAAATAATGTAAATATACTGTTACATATTCATCTAAAATATGTGTGCCACTTATGAGTCTTGGGGGGGAGTTGAGTTTTTCTGACTGCCTTTCAGGGTTAAAATGGAAAATGTTCACCTGTCAGGTGACAAAAAACCAATTTCTATAAATGTGCCAGGATAATTCTTTTCCTCCTCAAGAACAGTCAGCCTCAGTCTATTCATTACTGTCTTTTTATAGTATTTTTATTTAATAAAACCTATTAAGGCCACCATACAAATCTCTTTACTTATGCTTTTATCTTTTAACTGATCAATTTTTATATTGCTGACATCCCTTCTTCACCATTTGTTCATTTAAAAATTCATAGTATGTGAGCTATGTCTCCAGGGAAGTGTCTATAAAATTTGTTACAGCTGGCAAATGTGTATGAGTCAGTGATAGCACATGACTAAATGCTTCACAGAAAATAAAATTTGTTTCTGTAGTAAGCAGAACTGTTTAAATGTTATTTATTTTTATGTTTCAAAGAAAATATATTGTGAAGTGCTGCATTGATTTAAAAGGCAACAATGTCTGTGTACACGCTGTAGAAGGGAAATTTATGAAACCTTTGCACAACTCCTTTAATTGAATTTTCCAAATCTCTCACCACACACAAATAATCAATATCTTCTGCAGAGAAAACCAGTCAGAATTATTACAGTCTTTCTTTTCAATTTTGTTGTCATCAGCACATAAGAACACCTGGATATTTGTACTGTCTGCTTGCAAGTTATTTACACCTTTTAAACACATAATTGCTGTTAAGTGAGTCCAAATGTATAATTTTAACATTTGCTACATTTTTTTTCCAAAAGAAAAATTATCATACTTTAAATAAAGCATAAAAATTTAAATAATGGAGAAGAATTATGTAAAAGGCTTTGAAAAGTAATAAGCCCATTTGGCTTTCCTTAAATCCAAGACAAATCCTAAGTAAGCATTCCCTAAACAGTGATGACTGGCATAAAACAAGGACATTAACATTATCAAAAGTAGAGGTCTAAGCCATGAACAGCACACATAACAGTCAGTCCATATAAAGGCCTTAGGGCTACAGTGTACATTTATGTGTGTTTGTGAATCAAAATTAACAGCTATCTCCAAATAAATCCAGGAAAGTACGGGGGGGGGGGATTTTAAAGAAAATCTTTAAGCTCAAATCCAAGTGCTTTTAAAAGTAAAGTATCTGGAAAAAAAAAAAGATATCGCTTAATATTTAATATAAAAGATGCAAAGCCAAAAGGTAGTAGTAAAGGAAGTAAAATTATTTAGCCAATAAAATGAGTATATTTTCAAGCCTGAGTTGAGAGAAGTGTAACATTTTTTTTTTTTTTTTAATATCTCAGTGGTGACTAGAATGTAAAGGCAATGCCACATCAAACTATTTTATAGTGTCAGTACAGAAGAGGTTTCAGCTTGTCCTGTTGCCTAAAGATTTTGGTAACTTCAAAATCCTATAGCCAAGATGAATTTCACAATGGAAGTTAACTAAAGAAAACATAGTTTGTGCTTTCTTTTTCTTTTTTTCAGACGACCAGAGCTAGACATTTTGAAATAGTTTCTATTACAAATAGCTGAAGCAATCAACTTTTTTGAACACTGTAAAGTTCAGATGGTTATACTGCATTTGAAATATGCATTCTGCAACCTACACAATTATTCTCAAAACATAAAATATGTTTTGGACTGAAACTAAGTGTCTTGATTTCTTATCTTGGCAACTGCTCTACAATTTGCTTACATTCTTTTCAAAAACATTTTGTTTACTGGAAGTCCTAGTCACCAAGAAACAATGGTGGCCTTTTTTAATATCGCTAGAAAAAAATGAAAATGCCAAGTGCTACAGAATGCCATCTATTGACTAAGGAATATCTGTATGGGTTTGCTTTTAGTAGAAGTTTGTTGTGTAAAGCAAATACATTTCATGCCTCACCATGTGATTATAATGTGACATTCCACCAGTCTCAGCCCACTGAATAGTCAGATGTCTAAAATCTTAAGCATGACAAATTTAAAATAATTATGAAAATTCACATCGAAATCCAACAGAAAAGGAATCTTTCATTTCATTCTTTTCCTAACAGTCATAAAGCCAATATTATTAAGGAAAGTGAAGTTACTCTTACATCCTGAGTAACCAAAAGAAGCCTTCCTTTGTTCAAGAACCTCGAGTTTAGCAGAGCAGTGCTGCTATTCCCACAGTACAACACGGCATTCTGACTCATAGATCTAGTTCTTCTGCAAAGTTCAGTGACCTCTGCAAGCTCTCTGTGGTGCTTTACTTTGCTGTTGGATACAGGAAGCCTCCTTCACAGTATGTGCCAGGTGCCTGTCCACTTAATCCTAGAGTGACCCTCCTCTTCTGCAGGAGGGACCGCACATGGTGCTGAGCGAAGGGAACAGGCACTAAGGTTTAGATGGTGACGACAGCAGCAACGTCGCAGTGCCCCTGCAATTGCCTATTTGAATTATTCCAGAAAAACATTAGAAGACTCTGAAGGCTAAGGAAAGCCACCACCACCATCTTAAGTGGCCACTTCAGGGACATGCTGTTGATAGTGAAACAAGCAACTGGCCTGGTTCCTCTGTTATGATTACAGAAGTAAAACAAATTCAGTATTCAGCATAAGGACTGATTTAAAAAACCTATCTTTTATGTTAAGAAGATTGACAAGATGCTTTAAAATGTAAACAAATCTGGATAATAAGAGAAAAAAGATTTGAAGGGGGCCTGCTGACACTTTCACGTGTTCCATGGCATACGCCCCAATAAATTAGTTAAATGTAGCCATTTGGTTAACGAATTACCTTAGAATTTTTCCTTCATTTCTCAAAATTTGGTAAATGGCAGTTTTAATTATGAAGTTATAGGAAAGTATCGATTTAAACAATCCGTCACTGGCACAGAAGCTGTAGAAGACTTCTTCTAATTTGGAAATAATAAACACATAAATGTCACATTATAATCTACATCTTGTAAGGTTAGGAAAGTGGAACAGTGTCCACACTGCAGCCAAGCCATGAAAGCTAAAGGAGAGAAGAGACCCCCAACCTTCTGAACAGCTCCCCTGTGTGAGATTCTAGGGCATAGTACAAGTAGAAGGTGCAGGAGCCTTCTCTCTACTCTCTTGACAAGAGCTTTGGAGGCATCTTGCCATGGTTGTTAGCCGTGTGTAATGCAGCAGCCCTGTATCTGACTGGAATCTGGTATTTCCACTAAAGGTTACAGTCCAAGTTAAGCCCAGGCAAACATATGAGACTGGTTGACCCAGTGTCAGTTTTATTAATGTATAATCCGAAAACTGGGGTTGACTAGCTGCCTTCACTTGTCTTTGGAAGAAACATGAAACTGTGGAAAGGCTGGACTTTCTGAGTCATCCTGACCTTTAGCTGGAGTCCCTGTTCTGTAACTCAAGTGGCAGTCAAGTTACTCAGTGAATTTTGTGTATTTGTTTATTGTCCATAATGACAATGAAAATAACTATCTTGTGATAGTGCTTAGGACTGGGAACAGAATTTACAGAAATTACCAGTACTCCATAAATGGTAGTTGCTTATACTTAAGGATGTGAGACTAAAATATGATTAGTCAATGCCCAACTCCACTTGCAGAGACTGCTGAGTGGCGTTCATGTCAGAATATTAAGATTCTCATTCTTCTGCACACAACAGAGTCATAAAGAATCAGGAGGTCTCTGCTGGGATCTGACGAGATTACCACTCAACAGGAGCAGCCTGTGTATGGCAATTTTAAAAAGACCCCTGCTGAGTTAGTGGCTTGGTGGTTCTAGGCTCTCCATCAATCACATACAGAAAACTCACAGCAAATATCTTGGGACTTTATGCTGAAACCTAGTCAGCAATATACTTTAAAACCACAGCGAACTGAATCAGATCCACTCACGTGTATAGCAAGGTAAGAGAACAGACACAGGTTCCCAATGAACTTGGTACTCCCTAGTGAGTCCTGCCAGGCTTCTGTGTCCCAAGCCTTCTGAAGCTCATCCTTGGGGGCCCCATTCCACCCTGTGAGATGGTAGAGATTAGGAACCCAGAGAAGACTGGAAGAGAACTTTGATTCTTGATTGGTTTGCTCTCACTTCTTGCAGTATGACTTAGACAAGAGTGGGTTCTAGAGAGGCAATATTGCCCCTGACCCCAGTTTCTCAGGCGAAGAGGTTGACTCTTCTACAGACATCTCTATCATCCTTGAGATCATAGTATCCACAAGAATAGGACTCTGAGATTATGCTTACACTCCAGATCCAAGATTGAGGTGGTAATGGGTTGAGAAAGGCAATGAAGGCTAGCCATAAAGGGGACAGGGAGCTGTAGGTGCAGGAAGGACCCGCTGTTCTCCCATGCTCACCCAGGCTGGGCTGGACACACATGGGCTAGTGCCAGGCTTTGACAGGCTAAGGCCTTGAGGGCTTCTTTTTCCTTCTCTTAGAGGAAAAAAAAAAAAATCTTCTGCTGCCTTTTATCTACCTCTAGACTTTTCTTTTCCATCTTTTTTAATAGACTTTCCTGAAGAACTTACTAGCTTGGTTTTGCACATACAGTTTCCTTATTGCAGCCTCCTATAGGCGAGCCCTGGTTTTGACTGCCTTTTGGATTTCTTTACTCTCTCTTTTCACCCTAACTTTAACCAAAATCGCTTAATCTTCTATGACCCCCTTGACCTCGCTGGCCCTTCTATTACTTTTCCCTCTTCTCCCCTTTCCTCCATTAGCCAATACTAATCACTAGTCTCACTCTGCTTTTCCCTCCCACACATACAAAAAGTAACATCTTAGTGCTCACAGTACTATCAGTGTTCCTTTACTCCCTAAAATGGCTAGCATGTGATTGGGTTAATTTGACCATTACTCTATTTTCACAGTGGGCTGGCCTAACTTTGATAGTGACAGTTTTTGAAAACAGTTTTACCTTCAGGGCAGGGATTAAGCCCGGTGCTATGAATATGTAGGCTGAGGGTCTAACTACGAGGCTAGATTTGGAGTCTAGCAGAAAACAAAGCCATAGCCTTCCTACAACCCAGTCACTCCTACATTGCAAACACTTCATATGAAAGAACAGAAAGAAAAGAAGATCAACCAAAGATTTAACCCCAGATGTGCAAGTCTCAGTGCAAAAACACAAGAAACATTAAAATCCAAGGCATAATGATTCCTCTAAAAATCATTTATCCCACAGTAACGTCCTCTAATGGGAGTGAATTATATGAAATCCCGAAACACTAATTCAAAAGAGTTATTATAAGTGCTCCAAAGATACCAAAGAAGACATAAATTCCTGAGTGAATTCTAAGAGAATACAAGTACCTAAAATAAATACGGGAGTCCGATGCTAGTAGATGGCTTAATCAATCGAATTCCCAGCGCCCACATCAAAGCCAGGTGTTGTGGTGTGTCTATCCAATCCCTAACGGCAACTAGCCTGGGAGATCAAAGGACTCTAGGTTCGGTAAAAGCCTTATCTCAAAAAATAAGACAGGTGGGCTGGAGAGGTGGAGCAGCAGTCAAGAGTACTTGTTGCTCTTGCAGAGGACCTGGGTTCAATTCCTAGCACCCATGCAGAGGCTCACAGTTACCTGTAATTCCAGTTCCAGGGAATCCAATTCCATTTTCTGGCTTCCATGGTCACTGTAGGCATGTGGTACACACACAGACACATAGGCCAAATACCCATACACATAAAATAAATATAAAAAAATAAAAAACAAGATGGAGAGTGACAGAGAAGATACCTGCGGCTGACCTCTGTCTGACCTTCAAATGAACACGCACAAGCATTTGTACTGTATATATACACTACATGCACATACAAAAATAAAAGAGAAACAAGTCAATATAGGATATAAAAGTAGAATGAAAAAACAAAAAGCAAGTGAAGTGTAAGAAATTCAAAGTTCACAACATCAAATAGGAAGCTCCACAGAAAGACTCACCTAGAAGTTAAATAGAACAAGGGGAAAACAGAACACGAGGGCTGAAGACAAGATAGATGAGTTGGAATATACAGACAATGACAAAGCTGAATTAATAAGAAAGGATAAACAGAATATAAAGGATTCTATGAAAAAACCAAATCTACAAATCATGAACATGGAGGAAGGAGAACTTCATGTTAAAGGCTTAGAAGTAACTCAGAATACTATCCACAGCAAAACTATTTGCTATAACAGAAGAAATACCTTCCTTGATAGAAACAGGCCAAAGGATTTCATGACACACAGGTAGGCACCCTAGAGTCCATGGAGCTCCATGGTGTGACACAGAGCTTTCCTAACCACAACCTATCTGAGTCAGGCCAGGCACAGGGGACAGTGCTTGAAGTAGATACTTGAAGGAATCCTTTGGAATAAGGTCCATGATGCTACAGGAAACAAAAAACATTAGAAGAACAGTTTAGAATGAAATCCTAAGAACACTAAAAGAAAATCAAAAATCAACAAAATGACAGATCTGCAGTAGTTTGGATCTCCAGTACCCACATAAATGCCAAGAGTGTATGGTGGCTCACCTCTAATACTTCTAGTAATAATTCTGAATATAAATGACTTCAGTGCTAATCAAAAGACAGAGAGTAGCAGACTGAATTACAAAACAGGATCCATCCGTTTGCTGTCTCTAAGAACACACTTCACTATCAAAGATTAACATTTAGGCTCAGTGGGTAAAGCACTCGCTGTGCAAGTGAAGACCAGAGTTTGGATCCCCATGTAAATGTTGACAGGGTGTGGCGGCTCACCTGTAATGCCTGTGCACAGAAGACAGACAGCAGGTTGGCTAGCTGGGTTAGCCAAGCAGGCAAGCTGTGTTTTCAAGTGACATACCCTGTCCTGTATGTTGGATGGAAAGCAATCAAGGAAGACATGCAACATCAAACCGTGGCCTTCATACACACTCACATATGTGCATGTGTCTATGTGAACATGAAAACACACCACACACGGACAAAACAAAACAAGACAAAACAAAAGGGTCAGACACTACCTTAGGGTGGAAGAATGGAAAAACACATTCCAAGAAAATGGAACTAAGAAACAAGCAGGTGCTGTTGTTCTAATATCTGACTAACTAGACTTCAGACCAAAATTAGAAGAGGTAAGATGATCACTTTATACTAATTAAAGTAACAATTCACCATGAGGACATTGCTGTTTTAAACACATGTGCATTGCGGGTGGACATAATTTCACAAGTCAAATACTACTACATGTAGAGACTCAGACGAATCCCAACTCACTAACAGTGCATGCCTTATTCAGTGTTCGGTTACTGTGAGGAGATACCATGTCCATTGCAACTCGTATAAAAGAAAGCATTTAACTGGAACTGGCTTACAGTTTCAGAGGTTTAGTTTATTACCATCACGGTGTATGTAGGTAGACATAGTGCTAGAGAGGTAGCTGAAAGTTCTACATCAGGATCGGCAGGCAGCAGAAAGAGAGAGAGTCACTGGCCCTGGCTTGGGATTCTGAAACCTCAAATCCTCCTTTCCCCAGTGACACACTTCCTCCAACAAGGCCACACCTCCTAATCCCTGTCAAGCAGTGCCACTTCCTGATGACTAAGCATTCAAATATATGCCTCTATCAGGCTATTCCTATTGATACCACAGCAGTGGATAACATCAATAGCCCACTTTCATCAACACACATGTCTTCCAGACAAAAATAAACAAGAAAAGCATCTGAGTTAACCAGTGTCATAGATGGACCTAACAGACATTTATAGAAGATTCTAACCAGGCACTGAGTAATTCACATTCTTCACAGCATAACATAGACCCTTCTCTAGAACAGATTGTCTAGTACAATACAAAGCAAGTCATAAGAACAACAAAAGAGCTGAAAGAAGTTCTTGTATTTTATCTGACTGCAAGGGATAAAACTACATATTGACAACATGAAAACTATAGAACCGATACAAACTTATACAGATTGAATAACACATTACTGAATGATGAATGAGCCATTGAAGGAATCAAAAAGGAAATTTAAAAATTCCTAGAATTGGATGAAAATAAAAATACAGCATACCAAAAAAACCCAATGAAAACAGTTCTATTAAGAAAGTTTTATAACTGCTTTAAAAAAATCAGAGAGATTTCAAATAAATAAATTAATGATATAGATGAAAAAGAAGAAAAAGCCAAACCCAAAAGCAGGGACAAAGAAATAATTAAGATCATGGCAGATTTAATGAAGTAAAAATGAAAAACAAAAAGACAAACAGCAACAATGCAAATGCTCAATAAAACAGAGTTGGTTCTTTGAAAAGATAAACAAAAACTTGACAAACCCTTAGTGAAACTAACCAAAACAAATAAACAAACAAAAGACAACACTCAAGTTAATAAAATGAGAGACGAAAAGGGAGCTGATATGAATACTGATGGAATTTAGAAAGTCAATAGGACATACCTTGAATACTTACATTTCACTAAGTTGTAAAAATTTAAAGATGAATAAATCTCTAGACACATACACACACGCTGAAGTCTTACTTTATGAAATTATATGAAAACATTTCTCTTTTAAAAAGGTTTTATTTTATCTCAACGTGTATGAGTGTTTTGTCTATATGTAAGTCTGAGCAGCACATGAATGCTTGGTGCCTGTAGAGGTACGAAGGCCAGACATCTAGATCCACAGGAACTGGACTTGTGGATGGTTGTAAGCCACTATGTGGGTTGTTAGGATCTGACACCAGGTCCTCAGCAGGAGTGACAAGTGCTTTCAGCTGATGAGACATCTCTTCAGCCCCGTGAAAACATCTTTTTATGTAATAAAATATAATACTACAACCCCACCTTTGGGAGGAATTCTTGAATTCTTCTTTTTGAGCAGTTTTTGTTTTGTTACTTTTGTCACTGAAAGAGAAAAAAACCAACAAACAAAAGCCACCATCACATTAAGAAGTACCATAAGGGGCTAGAGATGGCTCAGAGCTGAATATAGCTTACTGAGCAGCTGAGAGAATTACACTTTGGGTCTTTGTACCCAGTTAACAAGCTGGGATTCTGGTGCATGTCTTGTTGCCTGCCAGCCTAGATGAGAACATCTGAGTCCCAGGCCCAGGGAGAAACTGAGTCACAGGTACAGGCAGTGATGGGGCACCTCAGGCCTACATACCACCTGTATGCACACTTAAACTTACGCTCTCAGACACAAACATCTTTTTTTCTTTTTCTTTTTAAATAAGAACGTACAAAAAATACTTGGATGTGGTTGGCATATACCTGTAATGCCAGCATTCTGGAGCCTGGAAAAAAAACTCTCTGTGACTTCAAGAATAGCCTGGGGTAGACACTGAATTCCAGGACAGCCTGGGCTATGAACAAACAAGCCTGGAATATGAATAAATAATTTCTTCTTATTTGGAAGAAGCAATTCTATAGGAAAAAAAATACTTCAAAGCCATACATACTATAGGTACCAAGCACAATGTAATGCCCTCTTCATATCTTACTTTTAAAATGAGCTCAATACAAAGGAAGCCTGCCCGCAGTCTCACTGTGCAATATTTTCCTTTAAGAAAAAGCCATAAAACAACACATCCCGATAAAGCACTTTCTTTTTAAAGATGGCAACAGCATCTCTATCTGGACAGCACTGGGATATGTGTGATCCATCAGGCTGAAACTTGAGAAAAATCATGAAGTTTATCTCTAAAATTACTATTATTAAAAACACAGGGTCTGTGGAGATGGCTCAGCGGTTAAGAGCACTGGCGGCTCTTCCAGAGACTCTGAGTTCAATTTTCAGCACTCATATGGTGGCTCACAATCATGTATAATGGAATCTGATGCCCTCTTGGGTATGCAGACAAAAATACCCATCTACATAAAATACATAAGTAAAAAATATCTTTTAAAATTACATTAATATTTCTTACTTAGTTCTTTGGTTTTCTTTGCTTCTCCTTTTAAGACACATGGTACTAGGGAAATGCCAATGAGATCTTCAAGCTGTCTGTTGCCCTCCAAAGCCTAAAGACAACCATTTTCAATGAGTTAAGCTCTGTATACCTAAGAGATTATTTACAAAAGAAATACAATACATTGTCTTAATTTAAAAAATTCTTAAATTAAGAGTTATGAGTTTTTCTAGAAAGTCAAGTATTACAAGCCCTATAATGACTTAATAATACTAGTTTTGACTTGTTTGGGGGTGGTGGTGATGGTAGAGGTTTGAGACAGGACTTCTCTCTGTAGTCCTGGCCATCCCAGAACTTGATATGTAGGCCAGGCTGGCTCTAGAGATCTGCCACCCTCTCCCTCTCGAGTGCTGGGTTAAGTGAGTGCATCGCCATGTTCAGCTTAGAGCAGGTCTTTTGTTTAAAAAAATTATTATTAAAAAGTTAAACATGGAGGTTGGGGATTTAGCTCAGTGGTAGAGTGCTTGCCTAGCAAGCGCAAGGCCCTGGCCCTCAGCTCTGGGAAAAAAAAAAAAGTTAAACATGCTTGGCATGGTGGTGCATACCTTTAATTCTAGCACTTGAGAGGCAGAGGCAGGCAGATCTCTGTGTTCAAAGCAAGCCTGGTCTACATAGTGAGTTCTAGGACAGCCAGGGCTATCTCAAAAAAACAAAAAACCTTAAACATACTCTACAAAATTACTTTTAAGTGTGAAAAAGCTATAACTAAATATTATGGTTATGACTAAATATGGTTATAACTAAATATTACGGTTATGACTAAGGAGGTTCTCATGAGAAATAAATAATACTGTGAAAACTGTTGACTGGATTCTTAAATATAGGGCTTCTTTCTTTTTCTTTCCAAAACAGATAGCAAATATATGAAAATTATATGCAAAAAAAAGTGCAAACCTGTATACTACTTAAATTTTTCATTATCTCCACAGTTTTTTCTGATGATCTTTCAATTGTAGATAGCAACGTCATAAATCTAGGAATGAACAAACAAATGTAGTTATTAAGCACATGAATGTGTCAGCTCACGAAGCTCTAATTCTACTCTGAGACAGATTGTTCTCTAGCCCTTTCTTTACATGTCCAAGCAGCAGAATGTTCTTCCTTCATTTTGCCGTTCCTTTATAAACACAACATACATTATTACTCATCTCTGAAGAGTCCATTCTCTCCCTTTCATTTCTACCCAACAGTGAGAGGAGAGAGAGAGTTATCTCTTCCCTTTCCATACATGCCTTCTTGAGTTAATAGTCCACTGTGAAGGGTAAAAATAACGGCTTGCACAGTTCAGGGTAAAGAAGCTACAAAAACAATCTCTTAAATTTGAAATAAGAAAAAAAAAACTGCTTACAATTCTACCTTGTGATTTTATTGCTAATCCACAGGTTGGATTTTTTTTCCTTAGGATTCAAACTTTATTTTTTGTAAGTGTAAAACAGTGACTCTCAACCTGTGGGGCACGACTCCATTGGTGTGAACAACCCTTTCACAAGGGTCGCATATCAGATGCCTTGCATATCAGATATTTACATTAAGATTCCTAACAGTAGCGAAATTACAGTTAGGAAGTAGCAATGAAAACACTGTATGGTTGGGGGTTAGCACAACCTGAGGAACTGTGCTAAAGGGTCTCACACTGGGAAGGTTGAGAACCACTGGTTTATATCATGCTTTCTTTACAGAACACAACAGACTTTTTTGGGAGTAGAGTTCTTGTTTTTGAGAAAGGGTGTCAAAGTGTAACTCTGGTTGGCTTGGAAATGGCTATGTAGACCAGGCTAGCCTCAAATATGTAGCAATTCTCTGACCCCTGCCTCTCTAGTGATGGAATCATGGGCATGGACTGTGTAACTTTTGTGCGAGTGCATACACCCTAAATGTGTAAAGCTGAACTATACCATCAAATAAACAAGCCAAAGATGATTTAATCAGATCCTCATTGTTGCAATGTCAGGTTATTTTCTAATTTGAAATTTCCTCACGATCTAGTACAACTATCTCAGTACAACAAAGGATAGCAGAAGTCACATACATCATTTTCTAGGAGCTGCATTAAAAGGAATAAAAGTAGTTAAATTTTAATAACATTTAGCTCAAAATATTTAAAGTATTAAGCATGTAATTAACACAAAAACTCCTGAGATAGCTTTGTACTTTTCAAGTGTGCTGTGTATTTACACTGAAACATCTCATTTCAGACTAGCTACGACTGTTTCAGACAGCACAAATCTATACGATTGACTTTATAAAAAAATGAGAAAAAGTTTTAAAAAGCTTTTCAAAATCATATGTTGTCATTAAATTTTCTGTAGTATTAAAGAAAAATGATAGGTTAAAATTTTCATACACTGCACACAGTATGTTTAAACTGGGTAGGATACATGTAATAATAGCAACATGGACCGTGGACATGATAGCATGCTCCAAAAGATGAAAATTATTAGAGGATAGACATAAATGGATGACATTTCTTTAAAAATTTTCCTGCATTAATAGGAATTTCAGTAAGAAATCATCTATTTTGTGGCCATCTCCTTACTCTTGAAACCTCAGTTTGAGAAGGTAGCCCAAATCCTGAAGGAATAGGGGACTTTCAGGCAACCTGAGGCCTGTGCATCATGTGGCTAAAGGCTGTGAGCATGGCCCGACACAAAATCAGAAATTTACATCAAATGAGATGTTTTTGCATTTTTTTATTTTGTCACAATTACAGAGTCCTCAAGTGCGAACTTTGTAGACACAATGTCATGTCAGAACACCAAAAGGAAAAACATGTCTATGAAGTGTCCTCAGACTGCGAAGTGCAGACAGATAAGCTACTTTAATAACTGACATCTAGGGCCTTAGTTCTTGTTGCTTCAGGGAGTAGTGTGGGAAGGGTCGAACTGTGACCTCTAAGGTCTCCTCCTAAGGGTCAGGAGTGCGTGAGGCTCCCAGGAACTGCAGAGTGTAAACCCCCCCCCCCCCAAGGACCTAGCTCCTTGCCCAAATTAAGGTAGCAATCGAGGTGCTCTGGGTTCAAGTGAACAATACAACTCTGTCCCACCCAGTATACACACAGTGGAAAGCAACCCAGAGAGACACCCAATACCAAACTCTGGCCTCCAAAGGCACACATGTGAACATGCATGCACGTAAGCATGAAGTACATACAACAACATACATAAAAAATTTCAGTGCTGACAGCTTAGGAAGAACATCTGTGAACAATTTATCAGTGGGCACTCTTGTTTGTAGTTATAAAATACCCCTTCTTCCATAAAATTGTGATGGCTATTCTTGGTTGTCAATTTGACTTCATCTGGAATCAACTAAAATTCAAATGGCTGGCACACCTGTGAGGAATCATTTGAAGTGACAAGACACACTTCTAATCCAGATCTTTTGAGGTGGAAAGCTCTAACTTTCATGCGGGCCCCAGCTTCTGCTGGCAGCCTGTAAAGGACACAGAAGAAGGGAGCCTGCTCTCCCTTTGCCTGCCTGCTCTTGTTCTCCCTAGCCAGTCCTTCCTTCACTGGCCTTAGAGCTTACTCCTTTAAGACTCTGGTGGATGCTGAAGACCAGCTGAGACGCCCAGCCTTGTGGGCTGAGCAACTACTGGATTCGTGAACCCTCTGTTGGTAGACAGCCATTGATGGACTAGCTGGTCAACAACCTGTAAGCCATTCTAATAAATCTAATTTTATAAATAATAACATGTAATTATACAAACACATAATTATATATTAAATTATATATTATTTATATAATATGGATAGAGATTAAGTCATAAGATTTTGGTTTAAGTAAACAAGAGCCTGCAGAACTGTTTCTATTTGCCTTAGCTTTCCATTTGCACTAAACATTTTCATAAAAAAGATATTTTGCTAGAAGCTGCTTTACTTTTCAACAGAATACTTTCATCACATTTACTCATCTATGCTGTGCGTGCACATGCTCGGAAGTCTGAGGACAGCTTGTGGCAGTCGGCTCTCTCCTTCCATCAGGTGGGTCAAAGCGCCTTATCAAATATGACGACAAATTTCTTTACCTGTTGAGTCTACTCACCAGCCCAGGAGGGAAAGACTATGTGATTTTAAACGAATTTCACAATAGAAATTAAAACATAATTAAGAAAGTTAAAATATGAATAAAATGATATACTCATTGGCCGCTGATTATTTTTATACCCCCTCTTTGTTCTTTGAGAGCTCTGGTTTCTTTTATCATTATATTCTGAATAACCTGCTCTATATAATGTTATTTGTACATGTTTTCAGGGTTAACCATTTGGTATTGGATAACCAATTGGTGTGTTCTTCCATGGAAGGGATTTTGTTGGTGTGAGATACGCCATGAATTTACATGTCACGCTTGAACAGGGCCATGCTAATCTCTGTACCGTTCCAATTTTAGTATATACATTGCTAAAGTGAGCCCAGGAAAATATTTTTCTGGAGGCCCCCCCCCCCCATTTTTTCACTCTCTCTTCTTGTCTTCCCATTCTTCCTTTCTGAAATAGCTGGGTGTGGTGGCTCATGTCTGTAATCCCAGCACTCAGAAAGGCTGAAACATTTAACAAGTTCTAGGGCAAACTGGACCACAGTTAAGATCTTGTCTCAAAACAAAACACTATGAAAAGAAATATCAGGCCCGGTAGTACAATTCCATAATTCCAGCACATACAAGAAGGGAGAGGCAGGGAGATTGGAGAGTTCAAGGCTAGGCTAGTGTCATAGCAAGATGGTCTCCAATTCTTCTTCTTATTGTATGGACTACGAACAGCTAAGTTACTGCAAGTAAAGTGTGTCTCATGCATAGGAATCTACAGCAAGTGATGAATACAATGACTACTAATAACTCGGCTTGGAATCTTCCTGAGAAGTCTGACTCTTTCTGCTTCTAACCCTGTATATTCCAAGGAATAACTGACTGGGCACAGAGAACAAATCAACCATCCAGAGAATGGAGTTATGTTAGAGTACAGGAGCTCTTCAAATAAAGAAGTGATCATGAAATTGTTAAAAAGATCCTTTCATGAAATGAAGTTTCAGGTCAGTGAGGTGGCTCAGCAGGTAAAGGCACTTGCTGCCAAGCTTGTGACCTGAATTTGATCCTTGAAATCTACATGTCGGAAGGAGAGATGGGACTCTTGCAAGCTGCCATCTGACCTCTGTACGGATGGCCACACACATACATAATACACAGACACAGACACACACACAAACACATACACGCACATAAGTTTAATACAAATAGTAAGATAAAAAAGCTTCTGAATAATCCAGCCTACATTATAATCCCCCACCTTTTCAGTTAGTACTTTTAACTATTTCAAGGTCATAAAAAGCACCCTACATATTTTCTCTAAAATAGTTACTCTTTTACCTTCTACACTCAGGCCTTCAATGCACTCAGAATTGATTTTTGTCTGTAGTGGGAGGTAAGAATTCAGATTCAGTTTCCCCATATTATCAGCACTATCTTTATACAGAATTATCAGTCACTTAGACAGAGTACCTCCACTGTGAAGAAAACAGCTAACCCAGCTCAACAAAAATGTTCTTTAAAACATCTTACTCCTTTAACTCCAATGCTTAGATTACTGAATACCCTTTAAACAAGTTCTATCTGAAAAGACTAATGCCGAGGATATTGTAGAAAATTACTGATGAAATAAAATGGCATTCTGGGCTTCTGAGATGGCTCAGTGAGCAAAGGTGTCTGCTACCAAGCCTGACAATTTGAGTTCGATGCTTAGGGTCCACATGGGAGGAGAAAATGGATTCCATCAAGTTCCATCTTCTGACCTCCCCACAAATACTGTGGCATGTTTCCCCTTCCTCCTCCAAATAAAGGAAATGTGGTAAAATGTTTTTAAGTGGCATTTTAATTGTATATCATTTTCTCTGGAAATTGATTAGTAATTGCACGGCTTACCATCTCATAGTGAACCTCCACTGTGTACTAGAGAGATGGCTCAGTAGTTCAGAGCGCCTGTTCTTGCAGAGGAGCTGGGTTAGGCTCCCAGTACCACGCGACGGCTCACAACCATCCATAAATCCAGTTCCAGGGCACCTGACACCTCCTCTGCCCGCCTCAGGCACTAGGAACACATGTGGTGCACATGCATACATGCAGGCAAAACACTCGTACACATAAAATAAATCTTTAAAAAATGTAAAATGTGTGTCGTATAGGCTTAACAGTGAATATACAATGATTCCAAAATACCAACGACTGATGAACATTGTGGAAACAAGTACCTTCTTTTTCCCATGCTTTTCTTGACTACATGATATTTTGCAAATGAAAAAGCAATGGGGAATACTGCCACAGTATTTTAAAATCATTTATAACTAATCCATAAATGTGTTCCATTTAAATTGAGATTAAAAAAATCAAGTTTTTATAGTGGTTTTCCAAAATAGGAAGAAAACATTTTAAAAAATTAGAAATGGATCTCGGACAAGAATTTTAAAAAACTTAAAGTGGAAAAATTATTTTATATACATTATTTTTATGTATTTCAAAGTATCTCCACTTAAATGCAATACTTTTAATATTATTTTTTATATATTAAAAACAATTAATATTGTTTTTAGAAACAAATGTTGACAGAAAGTAAATAAACATAAACAAATTTAATAAACATAAACAATTTCCTAAGTGACCCATAATGGAGGTTTTGCGGCTTCCTTGCTCTGTGATAGCAAGCTGCCAGGGTATCCCATTAAAAGTGTAGAGAGTTCAGAAGAAGGAAGAAATGGGTGTAAGCTACGAGAAGGGAAGGCTGTTTAAGCAGAGCTGGCATGGGTAGGCATCTGTGGTTTGGGCTTGTTTGTGTGGTTTCACCTTTGTCCAAACCTCTCCTCCTCTGCCGTGCACCTTTACTTCTAACTCTGCTTCATTTCACAGCTCTATGAGAGAGCCATCTGGGGTAGCTGCCATCGACTTTCAAATACACAATTACCAGAGATTCACAACTGTTATGTGCGGCTTGCTTTTACTGCTACTCTCCGTCACAATTTCAGAGTTTTGCTATTTTTATATGCTGCCTGTTTCAATGGTTAAAAAAGAATACTTAACACCTAGTCAAGACTGGTTTCATTAAGGAATTAGGATTTTTAATAAAAAAAAAAAAGTATGGGGCTGGAGAGATGGCTCAGGGGGTAAGAGCACTTGCTGCTTTTGCAGAGGACTCAGGTTAAGTTCCCAGCACCCCCGGGGCTGCTCACATGCCCTCAGGTCCAGGGCATCTGGAGGCCCCTTCTACATCTGAAGACAAAACACTTATACACATAAAATGGAAATAAACAAATCTTTAAAAAATTATTTAAAAAAAGAAAAGAAAAAAAAAGAGCAAATCCTTTTGCAGGGTGGGTGGCATGGCTCAGTGGATAAAAGAGCCTGCCACCAGCCTGATGGTTTGAGTTCAATCCCTGAGACCATGTGATGAAAGGAGGGAACTGAGTCCTGGAGGTTACCCCCTGACCTTTGCATGCATACTGTGGCAAATGCTTTCTCTAACATACATACGCACACACACACATCACAACAAACACACAAAATGAATGAATGAATGAATGAATGTAATAAAGAATTTTAAAGAGCAATCCTTTGCAAATATAGTATTTGTGAAGTAGGGAAGCCTAGAACATGAACATATTTGGTGGCAGGGAGAATGTGGGCAGGGAGAAAAAAACCTCCTAAAGCAAATAACAAGGTGATGTAGGAAATGCTAAGCAAGGCTTCCTAGAAGACTAACCTTTCTCAGTACAGTGCTTTAAACAGCATTCAGTAACTAATACTAGTCACTTTCATTATGAAATAAAGGACATCCAATCTGAGGTTTTAAACTACAGATTTTACCACTATTAGAATGGAAAATGAATCTAAGTTCCCCATAAGTAACTTTGAAAACATTTGCCAACATAACTCATTTCTAAGTTGAGGAGGCTCTATTAGCTTACAACATAAGACCATGAACTCTAAGTGGGCTGAAATGTCACCTTACATCATAGGGTATGGCACACAGAAATCACTTGGTAAATGAGATGAACATATGAGCCACTTTAAAAACGTCACTCCCTTGACTAATTCAATCACTCCAATGTGAGATACATAAATATTATTCCAAGGATAGACGGGCTTTCTGCAAAACTCGATTTTATTCAAAGGCATCAGTGGCAAGTCAGTGTGAACAGGGATGGGTGCTGGCTCATAACCTGGGCTGCTTACAGCCCTTACATGACTGCCCCACCTTCCCCTGCTTGTGGCTCTCTGGTTCCTCTCCGTCTATGTGACTGTGAAATGAAAGTTTCCTTAGTTTGACCCTAAGTTGATCTGTTTGTTATACAGCCCAGACCTAGGCATGCTGAATAGTAAAGTTAAAGCATTATACATTCCCACTACATGAGCAACAAAGCACTATAAATACTTTCCTTAACAACAGACTTTAAGAAAGTCATATAAAATAAATGTATAGATAGACAGAATAATTCAGCCCATTTACAAACTCTTAATTTACAAAAGTAAATGACTTTTCTCAAGTTGTCACTTGGGAAAAAAAAAAAAAAAGTCAGGCTTTTCCTAAATAGTATTCAGTGGATATGACTTCAAAACCAAGCTTACTCATCACTGTCTTTTGCTATGGATTCCTTTCCTGCAGGTGAGCTGAAGCTATTCAGTTTTCTTGTTTCTGTATGAAAAAACAAACAAACAAACAAAAAAAAAAAACAAAGTTAGAGAGATAATTTGCCAAATTTTAATGGACCGAACTGTCAAATTTTAGCTACCTGTTAACTCCAGCACTTGAAAGACAGAATGGGGGCGTTGAGGCTAGTCTGACACGCATAGCCTGGCACAACTTAGGAAAAAAAGCCAACAACAAAAAAGATGAATTTAGGTTGCTAAATACTGAATAGGAAGGGGAAAACAAAATGGAAGAAAAAAAGTATCCAAAAAAGTATTCTGTGTTTTTTCATTTCCTTTATTTAACAAAAGAAAAAAAAAATTGACCAGAAGTCAATTTCCTGAATATTGTACTATGCTATCTATACTCATAAAGCTTTAAAATCAAAATTTAAAACTGCTTCCTTAATTTGTAATTCATTCTCACATTTTAGCTCCAGAAGCCAGTAACAACGTAGATTATTTTACTAGAATTTTTATCAAGTGTTCAATGCTTTTCTAATTTTTTTTTATTAATTCAATTTATGTCTTGGTTATAGGGCCCTCCCTTTTCTCCTCCCAGTTCCATCTTCCCTCCCACATCCCCACTCCCCTATTCGTTAGAATAGGGAGCTCCCTACCCAGAAACCCCAGCTCATCTATTCACATGAGGACTGAGTTCGTCTTCCTCCCCTGTTGCCTTGTAGGAAAGTCCTATCGGGGAAGTGATCAAAAAACAGGCGACATAGTCTGTATCAGAGATATCCCTCACTCCCCTAACTAGTGGGCTGATATGAAGCCTAAGATGCCCATCAGACTTATCTTCTTGAGGTTTGTGCATTGTAGTAGTCTATCCTGTTCTATATGACTAAGATCGCTTATAAGAGAGTATATATCATGTATGTCTTTCTGGGTCTGTGTTACCTCACTCAGAATGATCTTTTCTAGTTCCATCCATTGGCCTGTAGATTTCATGATTTCCTTGTTTTTAATGGCTGAGTGGATTCCATTGTGTAAATGTACCACAGTTTCTATATCCATTCTCCTAGGTTGTTTCTAGATTCTGGCTATTACGAACAAAGCTGTTCTGAACATGCTTGAGCAGATGTCCTTGTTGTAAGGTGGGACACCTTTTGGGTGTACACCCAGGAGTGGTATAGCTGGATACTTGAAGGTATGGCTATTCCCAGTTTTCTAAGAGGGTGTCAGTTTGATTTCCAAAGTGTTTGTACAAGTTTGCATTCCCACCAGCAATGGAGGAGGATACCCTTTTCTCCACAACCTTGCCAGCATGTGTTGTCACTTGAGTTTTTTATCTTAGCTACTCTGACAGGTGTAAGATGGAATCTCAGAGTTTTTTGATTTGCATTTCCCTGATGACTAAGGGCATTGAACATTTCTTTAAGGGCTTCTCCACCACTTGAGATTCTTCTGTTGAGAATTTTCTGTTCAGCTCTATGTCCCATTTTTATTGGATTATTTGGTTTGTTGGTGTTTAATTTCTTGAGTTCTTTATATATACTGGATATTAGCCCTTTGTCAGATGTAGGATTGGTGAAGATCTTTTCCTACTCTGTAGACTGCCATTTTGGTCTATTGATAGTGTCCTTTGCTTTACAGAAGCTTTTCAGTTTCAAGAGGTCCCACTGATTAATTGTAGATCATAGAGCTTGAGCTGTTGGTGTTATATTCAGGAAGTTGTCTCCTGTGCCAATGAGCTCAAGACTCTCACGTTCTCCTCTAGCAGATTTAGTGTAGCTGGTTTTATGTTGAGGTCTTTGATCCACTTGGACTTGAGTTTTGTATAGGGTGATAAATAGGGATCTAGTTACATTTTTCTACGTGTAGACTTCCAGTTAGACCAGCACCATTTGCTGGAGATGCTATCTTTTTTCCCCATTGTATGGTTTTGGCTCCTTTGTCAAAAATCAGGTGTGCGTAGGTGTGTGGATTTATTTCTGTGTCTTCAATTATATTTCATTGATCAACAAGCCTATTTCTATGCCAGTACCATGCAGTTTTTATTACTATTGCTCTGCAGTATAGCTTGAGGTCCAGTATGGACATACCTCCAGAAGTTATATTATTGTATAAGATTGTTTTTACTATTCTGGGTTTTTTTTTTTCCACATGAAGTTTAGAATTGTTCTTTCAATGTCTGTGAAAAATTGTGTTGGCATTTTGATGGGGATCACATTGAATCCTTAGATTGTCTTTGGCAAAATGGCCATTTTTTCTGCTAATCCTACTGATCCATGAGCATGGGAGATCCTTCCATCCTCTGGTATCTTCCTTCAGTTTCTTTCTTCAGAGACTTGAAGTTCTTGTAATACAGGTCTTTGACTTCCTTGGTTAGAGTCACCCCTAGATACTTTATATTATTTGTGGCTATTGGGACGGGTGTGGTTTCCCTAATTTCTTTCTCGGCCCATTTGTCATTTGTATATAGGAGAGCTGCTGATTTTTTTAAATTAATCTTGTATCCAGCCACTTTACTGAAGGAGTTTATCAGCTGAAGGAGTTCTCTGGCAGAATTTTTTGGGGTCACTTATGATAGTATACATAAGTGGCCCCCAAAATCACCTATAGTGAATAGTGATACTTTAACTTCTTCCTTTCTTATTTGTATCTCTTTGATCTCCTTTAGTTGTCTTATTGCTCTAGCTAGAACTTCTAGTTCTATATTGAAGAGATATGGAGAGAGTTAGCAACCTTGTCTTGTCCCTGATTTTAGTGGGATTGCTTTGAGTTTCTCTCAATTTAGTCTGATGTTGGCTATTGGCTTTCTGTGTATAGCCTTTATTATGTTTAGGTATAGGCCTTGTATACATGATCTCTCCAAGACTATTATCATGAAGGGGTGTTGGATTCTGTCAAAGGCTTTTTCTGCATCTAATGAGATGATCATGTGACTTTTTTCTTACAGTTTGTTTATATGGTGGATTAGGTTGATGGATTTTTGTATGCTGAACCATCCATGCGTCCTTGGGATGAAGCCTACTTGATCATGGTGGATGATATGTTCTTTTTTTTTGTTACTTTAATGACTTTTTTATTTTTACATTTTTTCTTTATTAATTACACTTTATTCCCTTTGTATCCCCCCTGTGGTTCCCTCTCTCCTCCCGTCCCAATCCCTCCCTTTCTCCACCCTCTGCGTGCATGCCCCTCTCCAAGTATAACCTAAGACCCCTGCACAGATGTAGCCCATGGCAGTTCAGTATCCAAGTGGGTTCCATTGTAATAGGAACAGGGACTGTCTCTGACATGAACTGATTGGCCTGCTCTTTAATTACCTCCTTCTGAGGGGGAAGCAGCATTACCAGGCCACAGAAGAAGACAATGCAGCCACTCCTGATGAGACCTAATTGACTAGGATCAGAGGGAAGGAAAAGAAGACCTCCCCTATCAGTGGGATGATGTGTTCTTGAATTCAATTTGCAAGTACCTTATTGAGTATTTTTGCATCAATGTTCATAAAGGAGATTGGTATGAAATTTTCTTTCTTTGCTGAGTCTTTGTGTGATTTGGGTATCATAGTGACTGTAGCTTTATAGAATGAATCTGGTACTGTTCCTTCTATTTCTATTTTGTGGAATAGTTTGAGGAATATTGGTGTTAGCTCTTCTTTGAAAGTCTGGTAGAATTCTGCACTAAAACTATCTGGCCATAGGTTTTTTGTTTTTTTCTTTGTTTGTTTGTTTGTTTTTGTTTTTTGTTTTGGTTGGGAGACTTTTTGTGGCTGCTTCTATTTCCTTAGGGGTCATAGAGCTGTTTAAACTGTTTACCTGCTGTTGATTTAACTATAGTAGGTGCAAATCTATCAAGAAAATTATCCATTTTCTTTAGATTTTCCAATTTTGTGGAATACAGGTTTTTAAAATAAGACCTAATGATTCTTTGGATTTCTTCAGCATCTGCTGTTATGTCCCTCTTTTTCATTTCTGATTTTATTAATTTGGGTACTGTCTCTCTATCTTTTAGTTAGTTTTGTTAGGGATTTGTCTATCTTGTTGATTTTTTCAAAGAACCAACTCGTTTCATTGATTCTTTGTATTTTTTTTTATTTCTAATTTATTGATTTTCAGCCTTGAGTTTGATTATTTCCTGTCATCTACTCCTCTTGGGTGTGTTTGTTTCTTCTTCTTCTTCTTCTTCTTCTTCTTCTTCTTCTTCTTCTTCTT